AGCCTGAGACGCAAGTCATCGTCACATTCTGGCCTATCTTTACCTCTGAGTTTCTGTTGGGTAGCTTGAGCTCAGGATTAGATAGCAACTCTGAAGAAAGAAAACATTTGTGAGTAAAACCAGACCTGGGTTCTATCTGTTATTCCTGAGGACAGTTAGTATAATCATGGGCATGCCATCCTCTTTAAACAAGGGTGAAGAGAAAACCACTGCTGTTCATCAGCCAGAGCTACAGTAAAGTTGAAGAGATCTTGTTTCTTCTTAAGACTCAAATCATTCTCAGACCCTTTGTGAGCCTGAATGTGCTATCCCACTTGGGCCAGAAATCTGCGCAGGAGACTAAATAGTTCACTTGTCCCTCAGTGAAGTCGTGTCCTTCCCCAGCCTGAGAAGGTCATTGCAGCTGCAGAGTTGAACCTTATCTGAATTGATTTCGCTGAACAAGAGAAATATATGTCATAAAAGCAGGGAAAGGGGAGCAGGGCATGAGTTCCCAGCACCAATATGTGCTTCTGTGATTTGGGGCTGCTATATTACAAAACGTGATCACCAGCCCAGGAGCTTTAGATAGACCAAAACAGCCTCTTGAATAAAAACATCATGAAGTTTAAAACAGGAATCAAGTAACTGAATTGTTATCTACAGAATTTTATGATCCAAAATGATCAAAATCATCTATATTTATCATAAGCATGTCTCTGGGCACAAAGATTTCTTTATCATGACCGTTTCAAGAGTAGATGACATCACATGACCAGAAAGATGGAACAAAAAAAATGTGTTAGAACTATCTTACACGCTAATTGTATATCTGTTCTGATTGCCTGCAGCACAAATTCTAAGAAGACTCTTGATAAATCTTCCGAGGCCAGATGTGGTCATTGCATATCTTATTTTCACTAAGGTGAAATACCCTAGAGGACAGATTTCCTGTGGAGTGTTATATGCAATGGGTTTCGAAGATAAAGTTCTTAGTTAACATCTGTGAAATGCACTGTGATCCTAGTATGGGTGTTGCTCTGGTTATGAAGAGGTGTTACCCTGTTCCTACTGAAAGGGGACTTCGTAGCAGCCTTCAACTACCTGAAGGGGGGTTCAAAAGAGGATGCAGCTGAACTGTTCTCAGTGATGACAGAGCAAGGAACAGTGGTCTCAAGTGGCAGCAAGGGAAGTTGAGGTTAGATATTGGGAAGAATTATCTCACTAGGAGGGTAGTAAAACACTGGAACAGGTTACCAAGAGAGGTGGTGGACAAAAACCTGACTAGACAAAGCTTTGGCTGGGATGATCTAGTTGGGGCTGGTCCTGCTTTAAGCAGGAGCTTGGACTAGATATGACCTCCTGAGGCCCCTTCCAGTCCTAATTTTCTCTGATTCTGATACTGGTGTTCATTTGAATTATCCAGCAGGGGTGAATTGGATTCTGCAAGTACAAACTTTTCTTGATTACAAAAAACTGCCTTCTTTCCTCAGTACAGAAGCTCAGATGGAGTAAAAATACCAGTGTACCTAAACTATTATCAAAGCCCATGACACCCATTACATAATCTTCACAACCTCTCTGCAAGATAGATAAGTGTTAGTGATGAAGCAGAGCTGCAGTGATCTCCCCAAGGCTATAATGAGACAGCAAGAGTTGGGCTTACATCTCAGGAGTTTCTGGTCTACAGTCCCAAAATTATTTCCTTCCCTTGAAGTGGATTTCTTTCTTACCGCTTACAATGATCTGACTGGGTCCTATTTCTTCTGTGTAATTGTTGCTTGACCATTGGCATTTATATGCTCCTGAATCTGAGACATTTGCTGATTCTCTGATGTAGCTGCCATAACATTTTGCAGAATCATGTGAAATCGTGAGGTCCTTTTTTTCTCCATCCTTGTGAATGACCATTCTTGCTTTCCCAGTGATACACCTTATTGATCTGTAGGAGCAAGTGATGTTCAGCCGTGTTCCTTCTTCAATTATAGTGAAAGGGGAAATATCCATTGATAGTTTTAGAAGTGCTTCTTCTGCAAAAGAACGTGTTCTTTGTCACGTGGATACCTAAATGATAGAGCTGCAGCTTTCAATTGACTGAACACAGAGAGAATCTGGTGGCCTATGAGAGTAACATAAAGTGCCAAATAGCTAGAGATGGACCAAGTCTGGTAACCCTGGCAAATCTCCCAGCCAGAGTGAAGCTGCTTTTGATTTTACAGCTGCTCTTGCCTCTTCTCACCTAGTTTTGAATATAGTAAGCGACCATGCTTCCTGCCCCTCCCTTGAGACAATAACCTGCCATCTAACATATCTTCACCCTCAGGATTTTTTTTCTTAAAATGAGCATTTTGTATTTGCTTATCGTTGCCATCTGCTTAGGGATATGGGGCTGAACAGGTGCCTCCAATGTGAGGAATGGGGGTAAACTTTGTTCCTCCATTAAATGATTCCCAGAACGGGATCCTTTTCCTTTTGCACACTTAAAGCTCCTGCCTCTGGCATGGGCACCTCAGCTGGTGGAGATATCAGCTATTTAGCTGCTTCATCTCCTATCATTACATGGCTCTGGCCTGTCATATGAAAAATGCATCCCTTTTTAATCCGAAGGAGAACATGTATAAAGTTTAAGGGTGTAGGGCGTTGTAACTTGACATGCTTCAGAGAGGAAGTGGACAGAGAAATGAACCCTTTGAAGTATTCTGAAAATGATGGAAGTGAGCCAAAAATAGTCCTGAAGAAAACAAGTACTAGTTAGAAGCTGTATGGAGCATGGCAACAGAAGCCTCAGTCCTCCAGCATCCCACAATACTTCATGCTCTGCCCTAACGGAGGGAATGTGGCAGATAATCAATGAGCTGTCCCATGAGCTCTGCCTGTACTCTCCCAGAGCACCTACCTGCTGGAACTAGGAGACCGGAGGCCCTGCATCCACCTGTGGCTCTCCTGGTTATGGTGAGGGTGCTCCAAAAGAGTGGAGGTAGAGGGCACATGAAACCTGTCACTGACAGTCAGGTCTGCTCCCACTACCCTCCTGGCAGGGGAACAAAGCCACATAACACAGCAGCCCGCCTGTTGCACACAACTCCCCCCTAGTTAGAAGGCATGCCACTGCATGCAGCCATGTACATAGGGGGCTATACATCTGTCTGTGACCGACACTCCATTTTTGAAGTGCTTCAAAGTGCAACTGCACTTGGAAACAATTCAGAAGTTACAGCTGTCCATACCCTAAGCCTATCAAAATCTGAATTGATATAGCAATGTTAAAAGTGTAAAGATACAAGATTGGGAGAAGCAGACACTGCGTGTTTAAAGCTGTATGGAAAAAGGGCGTGTTCCTTTTTTATGAGTTGATAAATGATAAATCATATTTGACTGTGTAAGGAAGGACAGTATCATAATGATGTATTTGCGCAAACATGCTGAGTTAAGGTCATAAATGAAGGTTTAAATTTATTCTTTCCTGACTTAACTTTTGCAGCCATCACCTTCTGTTAAGAGAGATGGTTTTATTTTCATTAAATCTTGAGAAATGTGGTTGTAGGAAAAAAACCTGTCACACGGGTAGGGAATAATTGTAATATTTCAACTATGTGTGATGGAAAGTATATTTCAAGAGCCAACTACAGTATATAAAATAAGGTAGAAAGGACATTGTGTAATTTTGCTGTGAGACTTTACTAATGTCCATGTAAAAACTTAAAGCATTTGTGAATATACACAGGATTTTCAATGTATCAGAATAGAGAGAAAATTCGTTTTGGTAATTTTTAATTGTCCCATCCTATACATAAATAAAAGGAGGCTGAAGAAAAAAATTAACAACAGAAATTTAAATTAGCAGGCTCTGTAGCAATGAATATAGTAAAACTGAAAAAAAGAGAACTTACCACTGCCATTCTCTTCTGAATTTTCGTTCTGTTGAGTGGCTTGAACTATAAAAGAGAGAAAAAGATCTTGAGCACATTTAGGCAATGGCTGCAGTTTGGAATTGGGTCCAGTTGATAAATAGCAGATCCATGGCTTACAGTGGGATAACAGAAAAACCAGGAGAGTCATGAATGTAAGCATTTTCTCACAAAAATGAAGAGGCTATTAAGTTGAGCAAACCCGGGTGTCGCTGGTAAAGAGATCTTCAAAGGGGAAGGCACAAGATTTAAGGAAGTTCTAATTGTGGAAACAGCAAAGGGTGTTTCCTGGTAACATTAACATAATTTGTCAGAATCTGTCTGGATCCTGCCTAAGGAAGGTTTTAGCATCTAGCGGCTAGAGCAGAGATTTAATAAGAGGCACATCTACAAGTTCAATTACTGCACTTTAGGTAATGCACATTAAATCTAGGATCTCCATTGCGAGGTACTAGGAAAATGTGCATTAGCCTATTTTAATGTGCATTAGCTAAAGAGCACAGTTTTTTGTGATGCTTTAATGCTCTTTAAAACATAGGCTAATACACATTAAAGCACATGTGTAGACATGCCCAAGGAGTCTGGGTTCTTGCCACTTTCTTACATGCCTCATTTAAGAGTCAGAAGACTTCTTTTGTGGTTTCCCTTTGCCATAGCAAGGAAACATGTGGAAGAGCTGAATGTGCTACAGGCTTATTACAACACAGTCTAACAGACTATATATAACCAAGGGAATGCTACATAACTGTGGAACAGTTTTGCTTGCTTTGTTCTTGGAAAGAAACAATCCCCTGCCACAGCAGCCACAACTGTATTTTAATACATTTGGGGTTAGCACTGGGCACTGTGTAGATCTTAGTGTGGACACAACCCTGGCAGTATGTCTGTGCCAATGTAAAGCAGTATTTTAGCTAGACTGCCTACTTGAACAAAATTTGTTGTCTTGAAATGGAAAGCGAGAATGCCAACAAATCCTGTGATCCAACTAAAAGGAACTTACATGGTTGTGTATTTGTCTGTATTGTTACTGTATCAATTTGACATTCCTAAGCAATGGCCCTGCAAGTCAGTTTTCACATACCATAAATACAAAAGACCAGAAAGGGCCAACTTAATATTTTGAGATATCTTGGTTTCACAGACTGAAGCATGCATCTGTAATTTTAAATGAATGGTAATGATGAATGTTTTAGCCAGCTGCCAGTCAGGGTGTGCTAGATGTCTGCAGCCAAAAATGGTCCAAAAGAAATAGAAATATGAAAATGTAAAATTAATCCAATGAATTTGTATAGATAAATTCCTGTTTGTTTTGATTTCAGGGTTTTTTTTTGTCTTGTTTTCTTTTTAAGGCAGTTTGTAATGGGATTAACTCTTTGGTGTCATTCTAAAATCTAGGGCCATTTTACCAACCTACAGCAACAGCCATAGCGATGAGGATATTATCTTTCTCTCCCATGCGTCCTCAATACGTCATTCCTATAGGCTAAGTACAGAGAGTCAAAAAGTCCAACGCTGAATCGATTCTGTCTTTGCAGGTTAGTCTAAACTACACAGATTAAATTGAAAGAGAAGTGAATGGACATTTTTAGCTTTGATTCAGGAAATGCAGCCACATGCCTGCAGTGGCTCAGGCCAGGAGCCAGCAGGGTGCTAGAGTAGGGGTGGGCAATTACTTCAGGTGGAGGGCCACTTAACGAGGTTTGGTGAGCCACATAGGTAGCCCCACCCCTTGACAGTTGCCCTGCCCCCTAGTCGCTATTTTTGGGTAGAAGTCCCACCCCTACTCCCTGACCTTTCCCTCCCCTTGCCCCCTGGAAATACTCCTTTTGGGAGGGGGGGTTGCCATCTTAGAACCAGAAAAAAAAAATCATACACTAAATGTCAAACACTTACTGAAACATATATTAATTTTATTACAAAAAATATTTTTGTCATGGTTTGTGTTTGCATACTGGATATAGAGGTGATTGCATAATAATTCAAAAATAAGTTCTTCGTCTTGTATATTGTGTGTGGGGGTGTATGTATGGTGGGGCATGGGGGTGGGTGTGTGTATGGCTAGGGGTGGGGATGTGTGTGTGGAGGGTGTGGGGGGAGTTTGTGAGGTGGTGTGGCTGTGTTTGGTGGCAGAGGTTATGGTGGGGGATTGTGTGGTGTTTGTGAGGTTGGGTGTGTGGCTCTGCAACACACTGGTCTGTGGAACACACTCTCCTCTCCTGCAGTCAACACTGGTGTGTGTGTGTGTGTGTGTGTGTGACATTTGTGGGGTGCGGCAGAGCCTGGGAGGGGTGTGGGGACCCCCCCCACACACTCCCCCCCATGTTGCAGCAGCAGACAGGGGTGCTGGTGCCTGGCTCAGGCCAACACTGCACACCACAGGGAGGAGTGCAGCCCCCACTGGGCATTGTTTTACCTCAAAAAAGCTTTCTGAAACATGGGTTGCTTTGGTCTCATCTGAAATACTGTATGGTAACAGCACATTACAATTGTACATATGGATCATATTGCCTGGCCAGCAAAGCACTATCTTTTCAATAGCTTATAAATAGAAATGCAGTTGAACATTGATTATCCCCAAATTCCTTTTGACATGTCTAATGTTAATGTCCAGTAACTTTAATTGTTTCTTGTAATGTTGTTAGCTACTTTAAATGTCCCCCATGCTTAACACCAAGCAGAGTGACCTCAGACTTGGGAAGATGTCCAGCAGTAGAGAAGACAGGTGTGTTGTGGGAGCAGGAACCCCATGTAGTCTTATGCTGTAATTCTCCTGTTGATTGATTGGAACTTTCTTCTGTTAATTTGGGGAACATCTAGATGATTCCTTGTAAGCAGAGGACTTTCTTCAAGGTCAGGCTGGTCTGCTAGTAAATACTGGAGAACAGTAACATCCTCCTCCTCCAAAAAGAATCCTTACTATCAGTTATTCAGTGCCCCACACAAACCTAATAATTTGAAAAATTCTGCTAGAAATGGTCAAGAACCTGACAGTAAAAATGAAGGGCCTGTTCATACTGGACATGGCATAACATAGCAAAATTGAACGTATAGAAAACTAAGTTGAAGTTAGACACATTTTAGAAATAAGCTGAGAATTTTTAACTACTTCATTTTGGAACATCTTAACAAGGTTCTAGTGGCTTTACCATTACCAGATAGCCTTAAATTAAACTTGAATGTTTTTCTAAAAGAGACACTGTATTTCAAGAACAAATTAATTCAGGGATGTTCTCTGGCTTAGGTTATGCATACATGAGACTGAATGATTATAAAGGTCCCTTCTGGCTTAATCTCTGAATTGTTCTTGGATGTAGACCCAGCGTAGCTCTGCCATACCTCAGGGCCATTGTGTTGCCCTTGTTTTATGGCAGGCATGATCGAGTGTGTGTCCTCTTCACAATCTTGATCAATGGTGCTGCTTTAGAGAATGGAGTGGTCCAGCTGAGAAACACCGTGAAGGAAATGATAGACATCTCTCCGCTGAAGTACTTCTTTTAACCATGATTGATAATAATAAATAGAAATATATATTTAAATATAAATAATATAAAAATGTGAATGTATTTTTAAAAAGGTATTTTGGATCTTCAGAAATCAGTTCAGATGCAAGGTATTGCACACTGCACAAGGCAGGACTCTCAACTCTACATACCCTGCTTTGATACCATATCAGTAAGAAGCACAGAAAGTATCTGTGTCATCTCCCAGAAATTATGCTAATAAAATGTTGTCATACACGTTCTCCTTCACATCTAGCACCTAACACAATGGAACCTGATTCATGATTGAGGCTTCTAAAGCCTAAAATGATTTAAAAAAAATTAGAGAGTATGTCTAGCATCCAACAACTGATAATCAGAACTAAATGTGCATTTCTTCTCTGCCTGAAGCTGTGTGAATTTCAGTGGAGTATAAACATTTATCTAGTTTCTGTCTTGTTCACAATTTCGATGTTCTCTTTATTTGACATAGTGCAGCTGCTCAGCAAATAAGCACAACATATAATTTATCAAATATATTTATCCTTTCTATTAATTATCAACAAATGGATTGTACTTTTCTTGAACTTATACAATGATTTATTGAATAATTCTGACTAAGCATTTTGCTATTGTTAATAATAGTTAGTTGTGCTAATTAGACAAGTATGTCACATGGAACGTTTGTGCCTCTTGACTATAGGTTGTGTTGGTGTTTAGAGTCTGGTGTTTTGGTACACTTGTTCACAATTATGAGTATTTTGAAATGGTTTCTTAAAATTCATTGTTTTGAAGAAGAATGCTACTGTCAGTGAAGTTGTTTTGCCTGAATCTCTGCAGAAAATGAACACTGAAGTAATATAAATGCATGTATAGTGAAGTTGTTAAAAAAAAAATCCATTAATGTTTATTAGAACATTATGGAAGAATTTGTCCAGTTCTTGCCAACCATATGCAAAATCTGATAATGCAGCAGCTGTGCTAGTGAGGGTAGTCAGTGGCCATAAGAAACACAGTGCTAGATTACTGTTGACTGGTACTTTGTTTTGCTTTCAAGTTACCTGCAGTCTCCGACCTAATATTTTTGGTCAGGAGCCAAAATGAGGCTGGAAAAATAGCCCCTTCCTGATTCTGAATTCAGCTTTAAACCAAAATCATAGAGCAGATGTGGATTTTAATTCAAACCTTGTGGGCAAGGCAAGCAAGAACGAACACTGGCTATTGGAATTAATAACCCTTAGAGATGATAATAGCTCAAATAGTTTGGGCTGCCTGCAGACTGGCAGATACCTCTGTATTGACTATCCTAAGTTCATGCTTTCAAGTGTTTCCCTCCCCACAAGCTAAGCCACCTATTTATTTAAAAAATCGTAGCTGGAATTCTAACACAACCATGTAACTCTAGGAAGCCCAGGTTTATGGTAAGACCTCTAGATCTTCTCCTATGTGCCTGTCCAGAGCCCAGCACAATGATCCTGCTTCGGAGCCTTTTGGGATGTGACTGCAAAATGACAACTGAGTAAAATGATGAGAGACCACAGTCCTCACTTCATGCAGAACACTGATCGTGTGCCAGACAGTACTAATCTTCAATCGCATCCTGCAGGGGTAACTCCGAACCGTCAACTTTGATGTGAAAGGCTCAGTGATTCTCTCATTTATGTTGTAGCTTGAAGGAGGATTTGTGAGAAGTTGAAAGGAGAAACCCTACATAAAGTTGTAAGATAATTTTATTTTGGCAGAGGATAGGG